GCTCCAGCCCCTGTCCATTCAGCATTCCCGGGTTTATCATTGTCCTTCCTTGGCAGGCACCCAGCCCCAGTGCCCCCAGCAGGTTCCGGTGGTTTTTGGGGTCCCTGGCTCCAGCAAAGCCCCCGTGCTCAGGGGTACACGATGTGACACCCTCCCATCATCCGACATCCCCTCCGCACCTCCCTCCCCCAGCTCTTCACCGCAATCCCCACCGTTTTCCACCATCATTTAAGTTTCTGAAGTAATTTCTTTTTTCCTTTTTTGTCCTTTTTTTTTTTTAAAAAAAAAAAAAAAAAAAAGCAAACCATCTACCATATGTTCTCCCCTGAAAGGGGCAATTGTTAACAGATCATTAAAACACCGTGGCGAGTGCTCTGAGATTCCTTCCCTCGGTCTTACGCTTTATCCCGTCTCTGTCACCCTTTCAATGCGGCTTTGAGGGCTCTGCTTTTCTAACTTCCTTCTCGGGGGGGAGGAAAAAAAGAAGAGAGAAAGAGCCACTGAAATGACCCTCTTCACAGCTCTCCTCCTTGCTTTTCAATGTCCTCGGCGACACCCCAGCGTAATTGGGGCGGGGGGCTGGCGTGCCGCCGCTGCTGTCACCGGGCCGGGGGCGGCAGGGCCACGTCCTGCCCCGCTCGCGGGTGACAGGGCTGGGCTGGCAGCATCAGGGGTGGCAGGGCGGCTGCAGGGAACCTGTCCTTGCGCTGCTGGGCAAGGGCACTGCTCCTCTTGGGGGGCTCAAACAGCACATCCCAGCCAGCATGGTGCTGCCCTGATCCTGGGACGGGGCTGGGGATGGCCCCGTGGCACACACGTGTGCAGGCACAGAGACCTCATTTCTTAGAGACATCATCCCTTAGAGACATCATTCCCCAGGGATCTCATTCCCCAGAGACCTCATTCCTTAGAAACCTCACCCCTAGAGACCTCATCCCTGGAGATCTCATCCCTAGAGAACTCATCTCTTAGAGACATCATCCCCCAGAGACCTCATTCCTTAGAAACCTCATCTCTTGGAGACCTCATCCCCTAGAAACTCCATCCCCAGAGACCTCACCCCCAGAAACCTCACCCCTAGAGATCTCATCCCTAGAGACCTCATCCTTTAGAGACCTCACCCCTGGACATTTCATTCCAGAGACCCCATCCCCAGAGACCTCATCCCCAGAGATCTCATCCCTAGAGACCTCATCCCAGAGACCTCATCCCCAGAAACCTCATTCATCCCTTAGAGACTTCATTCCATAGAGACCTCATCCCTTAGAAACCTCATCCCTGGACACCTCATCCTGAGAGACCTCATCCCCAAAGATCTCATCCCCCAGAGACCTCATCCCCAGAGACCTCATTCCATAGAGACCCCATCCCCAGCGACCTCAACACTTAAAGACCTCGTTCCAGAGACCTCAACCCTTAAAAGCCTCATCCCTAGAGATCTCATTCCAAAGACCTCATTCCAGAGACCTCATCCCTTAGAAACCTTATCCTTAGAGATCTCATCCCTTAGAAACCTCACCCCTAGAGACCTCATCCTTAGAGACCTCATCCCCCAGAGGCCTCATTCCAGAGACCTCATCCCTTAGAGACATCATTCCCCAGAGATCTCATCCTTAGAGACCTCATCCCTTAGAAACCTCATCCCAAAGACCTCATTCCCTAGAGACCTAGTCCCCTAGAGACCTCATCCCTGGATACCTCATTCCAGAGACCTCATCCCCAGAGACCTCATCCCTGGACACCTCATCCTGAGAGACCTCATCCCTTAGAAACCTCATCCCTCAGAGACTTCATTCCATAGAGACCTCATCCCTTAGAGACCTCATCCCCAGGCACCTCATCCCCAGAGACCTCATCCCTAGAGAACTCATTCCCCACAGACCTCATCCCTTAGAAATCTCATCCCTCAGAGACCTAATCCCCAAGACCTCATCCCCCAGAGATCTCATCCCCAGAAACCTCATCCCAGAGACCTCATCCCCTACAGACCTCATACCTATTGACCTAATTTCCAGAAACCTCATTCCATAGAAACCTCATCCCAGAGATCTCATCCCCAGGCACCTCATCCCTTACAGGCCTCATCCCAGAGACCTCGTCCCCCTGGGTGCACCAGGTTCTTTCAGCAGCACAGATCCATCATTCCCATTTTGTATGGAAATAAGCTGACAGCTGGCTGGGAAGTGAGCAAAGCCCAGAGATGGAGTGTGAATATTTCACCTCCCTTTCCTGGAGAACTCACACTGTTTCAGGAATCACCAAATGATGGGAAGCTGGAGACCATCAGGGGATGGACCACCTCTGCCTGAGCAACGGCCTTGGGCTGAGGGACCCTTCCTGCAGGCTCTGTGCTCCTGTGATCAGGAGGGACAATGCTTTCAGAACTCACACAGAGGTTCCTTGTCTGCATCTTCTCCCCTTCCACCACGGACTTGGCCATTTCTCCAGAGGACCGCGTTCGCCAGCTCATCCAGCCAGGGTTTGCACCTCTGCTCCACCTTTCCCCCCAACCAGCACCAGGCCCTGAGAATTTGCACTTGCCCACCTCTCCTCTCCCAGCAGGGCAGCTTTCAGCTCTTCATAAGGACAAAAATTTCCACAGGGAAAGAAAAGGAACCTCCTGCAAAGGAGCAGGAAGAAGAAATGCCCAGACTCCCACTTTCCTGAGGGCATTTATCAGCTGCCTTTGCTCTGAATGTCAGGAAGCCCTAGTGAAAGGAAGAGCTTTAGGAGCACAAATCTACAAACCAGCTTCTAGCTAAGTAGTTTTTCCATCTTAAACGCTGGTACTTTTCCCCATCAGGGGGAAATCAGCTCATCCCAGCTCCGAGGAACGCAGGTGAAGCTGTGAGCAGCAGCTGTGCCCTGAGTGTCACAGGAGCAGGTGATGATCACTGCAGGGATTTCCTTGGGAGCTGTGCCTGAGCAAAGGAGCTTCTGGAAGCAGAGCAGGGCAAAGGGCCCCTGGAGAAAGCCTGGATGTGTGTGGATGCAGGGATCTCATTCCCAGCCAGCGGGGATTTAATGATGCCCTGCGGTACCCGTGCCACCAGAGGGAGACTGCTCTGCATCTCTGCTAATTAAAAATTTCCATTGATTTTTATTTATTTATTATTTGTACATCTTGTGCACGGGCACCCAGCTCACCCAGGTGCTGCGCCTCACAAAATAGAGAGGTAAATCTCTTTTTCTGAGCCCTGATGGAAAGCAGGAACACATGGAGCATGAACCGCTGGCAGCTCACAGCTGTCAGAGCGCTTTAAAATTACACACACAGAATAATCCACAGTTCTGGGGTTTTGTGGAGCTGTCTCAGGCTTTCAGGGAGCAGCCAAGGAGCATTTCCTTAAATCAGGTTAAGGATGCGTCTGTGAGACCCCTGCCAGGAGCACAGGGATTAAATCAGATCAGCATTCCTCACCCACCTGAAGACAATTTTCTCATCAGCTCTCTGGGAAGGCAGCTGAGCAGGGAATTGCTGCATCTCTCACCTCCCAGAGGCACCATCCCTCCCTCCAGCGCCCATGGCCTGTGAGCCAAGAGTTAATTGCCTCGGGTCCTCGGGAATGGGAAGGGTCAGGAGTTTCCGAATCAATCATTTATTAAGCAAAATCACACAGGGTTCACTTTGTGCTTGTCAGGTTGACACCACTCCCACCCAAACACCGTGAAGGATGGCTGAAAACTCAGTACAGCCACAGATCTTCTTTGTAAGGGATAAATGCTCTCCTGTATCCCAAAACACTCTCCCCATTTCATTTAAACCACCTGAAGTTTAACCACACTTGTGCCACCTACTGGTTTCTGGGCTATCTCATATTTCACGGCACCCCCACATTCACATTTATTAAAATAAATAATGAATTTAATAATAAATTTAAAAATAAATTTAATAATAGATTTTTTTTTAATTAAAATAAAAACCCCTTAACCAACTCCAGCTTCAACTTTCCCATCCTCCCAAGCTGCTCCTCCTCCATCTCCTTGTACACCAACCCACCCTTAAAACACCCCAGGCTTTTTAACTTACCAGAACACACGATTCGAGGCAGAGATCAGGAAATTTTGGGTGAAAAGGAGCAATTCAATGTGTAAGTAGCAGCCATGTTAAAGAACAGCCACTAGAGCGTGCTGTGGACCTGGCACTGCTCCTGCTGCGCTGGGATCTGTCCCTAAAAACCATCAGCAACACACAGGAACTGGGTGAATCCTTTTTTTTGCTCCTGGAAATGCACGAAGTTTGCTCAGAAATTCTTGGTGAAGGCAGGGAGTTAAGCAGCAAATGCTGAGTTTTGAAGAAAGCAGGAAAAAAAATGTCCAGGACAAGAAAATAAAAACAAAAAAACCCCCAGTAACAAAAAGCATCAAAGAGACATCATTTTATAAACAAAACCCACGTGCTCCTTTTTTTTTTTTTTTAAGAAAAAACGACTCATTGGTTTTATTTCAACAGTAAATTTTAGAAACATCTCGACATACAAGAACTCCAAAAAAATATAAAGTCATAAATCACCTAGTTAATTTACTGAAGGGGAAAAATACAGTACATCCAAGACTCAAACATCTTGTAAGTTTGTACAAAAGCCACACAGTAATAAACTGCATTAAAAAATAGATCAAGCATTACCTGACTGATTTGACACTGGCATTTTGAAAGGCACTGAGCAATGAAAGCGATCAGCATCACATCCTATTGTCAGTAAATTCATCGTGATTAGCATAAAACCCCACTATCAAACACAGCTTTCACCTTCCCCGTGTGGATCAGCAAGAAATCTCTCTGGAGGGAGCAAGGAACAAAGCTGGGGAAGCACAAACACTCAAATCTGACATCCGGGGATGCAAAGAGAGTTCTGGAAATGGCAGTTCCCTGGCTGTGTCGGCTCCCGGCCATCACCCAGAGGAAGCGGTGCCCCTCTCTGTGTGCCGGCTGTCCCCAGCGCTGGCTGCTGGCCGCCCCAGCAGCGCGGTGTGCCCAGCTGGGTGCGCCTGGCTCCCCATCAGCCCGGGTAGCACATGCAGCAGCCAGCCCCGGCCCGCTCGGCGGCAGGAGCAGCCCCGAAGAGGCTCTGGCCCAGCTTGTGCTCCGCGATGATGTCCTCCACCCTGGTCACGTACAGCAGCGTCAGCAGCACGCCCAGGAACTGCCAGGGAACCAAAAAGGGATTGCTGCGTCACGCATGGCGTCAACTTGGGATTTACAGCTTTGCGTCATTTGAGAAGACAATTTTCGCTATTGTTGGTTTTTCACGCATTTAATTTTTTGTGTTATGGTTTTATATTGGGTTCGTTGTATATAGAGATCATTTGTATATAGGTATTTTAATGTAATACTTCTTAGGATTTGTGTTTACAGTTGTGAGGGTTAGGGTTTTTATTATTTTTTGGTTGATGACGTCACAGACATGTTTTATGGAAAATCCTTTCCTTAGGATTTTTCCTCCTGAGAAGCTGAGAAGCCTCAGGAACAGAATGTAAACAATGGTTATCTGCTGCTGTGGAATGCAACAGGTGCATCTGGGATTGGTCTCATGTGGTTGTTTCTGATTAATGGCCAATCACAGTCAGCTGGCTCGGACTCACAGAGTCACAAACTTTTGTTATCATTCCTTTCCTTTCCTTGCAAGCCTTCCGATGAAATCCTTTCTTCTATTCTTTTAGAATAATTTTAACATAATATATATCATAAAATAATAAATCAGCCTTCTGAAGCATGGAGTCAGATCCTCGTCTCTTCCCTCATCCTCAGATCCCTGTGAGCACCACCACATACATGGCACTAAGTTTGGATTTATAGTATTTACATTATTTGAGAAGATAATTTTCACTATCGTCATTTTTTTAAAGCGGTAAATTTTTTGTGTTATGGTTTTTTATTGGGTTTGTTGTATACATAGATTGTTTCTATGTAGGTATTTTTGTGTTATACTTTTTAGTATCTGTGTTTAGAGGTTGTGAGGGTTAGCTTTTTTTATTGTTTTTTGGCTGATGATGGTGGGATGTCACAGACATGTTTTATGGAAAAATCCTTTCCTTAGGATTTTTCCTCCTGAGAAGCTGAGAAGCCTCAGGAACAAAATGCAAACAATGGTTATCTGCTGCTGTGGAATGCAACAGGTGCATCTGGGATTGGTCTCATGTGGTTGTTTCTGATTAATGGCCAATCACAGTCAGCTGGCTCGGACTCACAGAGTCACAAACTTTTGTTATCATTCCTTTCCTTTCCTTGCAAGCCTTCTGATGGAATCCTTCCTTCTATTCTTTTAGTATAGTTTTAATATAATATATATCATAAAATAATAAATCAGCCTTCTGAAACATGGGGTCAGATCCTCATCTCTTCCCTCATCCTGGGACTCCTGTGAACACCACCACATACATGGTATTAAGTTTGGATTTATAGTCTTTACATTATTTAAGAAGTTATTTTATTTTTATTGTTATTTTTTAAGGGTTAAATATTTTGGTTTATGGTTTTTTTATTGGGTTTGTTGTATATAGAAATTGTTTGTATACAGGTATTTTCATGTAATGCATTTTAGAATTTCTGTTTAGAGGTTGTGAGGGTTAGCTCTTTTTATTATTTCTTGGTTGATGATGGTGAGAGAGAGCAGAAATTTTCCAGAGCAGAAATCCATTTTGATTTAAGTGAAATGCACATCTTTGAGTTAAGTCTATAGTTTGAAAGCACAGCTGTTTAGTCTAACTGCCTGTTCTCATAAAAAGCCTAAACTCAGAAAAACTACTTCAGCCAAAATAGAGATAAAGAGAGGAAGACAGAGAGACAGAGAGGCTGCTGTGAGAACAGGTGAACCTGACCTAGGAATTCTTTCTGATAAAGAAGAATTAGCAGCAAATATCACGCAAAATTTGTAAAAATGAATATGTAAAAACCTATTGTGAAATTGCATGCATATGGGTTTGAGAGAGAGATTTTAAAAAATCCAGATTTCCTAGAGGTGCACATGTCTTTTAGGGAGAGGAATCTCCACATGCATCCAGTGCTGTAATAAACATACCAGCTTTACAACTTTCACCCAGTTGTGGAGTTTTATTTATCTCCACAAAACAATGGGATTATGTGACAGGGATTTTAAATATTTTATTATTGTTTAAAATTGTAGCTTTGTTTGTAGTATTTTAAAGATGGACTAATTAACTAATTATGGATTTATTAGGTTTTTGAGTATAATTTTTTTTTATCACTTACGTTAAATTCAAAATTCAACAGGATTTCACATACTGACAAATGAGATTTTTGATCCAAATGCCAGAATGCCACCCCAGCTTATCAGTTACATTAAATTCAAAAAGAAAACCATGATTATGGTCAAATGGGATTTCACATACTGACAAATGAGATGTTTGATTCAAATGCCAGAATGCCACTTCAGCTTATCAGTTACATTAAATTCAAAAAGAAAAGTATGAATATGGTCAAATGAGATGTCACATTCTGACAAATGATTCAAATGCCAGAATGCCACCCCAGCTTATCAGCTACATTAAATTTGAAAATAAATTTATGAATATGGTGAAATGGGATTCCACATCCCCACAACCCAGATGCTCCCCCTTACCTGGGGCAGCAGGATGCCCAGCAGCACCCCAGCCATGATGCTGTAGTTGTCCAGGAACCAGATGAGCACGGCGTTGGTGCAGCCGCGGACGTGGATGACGTGCTGAACGCTCAAGCGCTGCAAAACGCCAGGGGCAGGGGGGCTCAGCGGGAGCTGCACTGCTGGGACATGCTGGTGGCACCTCAAAACTCTGGGAGCCAGATGTGGTGTGCCCTCCCACCTCCTTAAACCCACCGAGTTGAACCAAAACCTCATCAGTAGCTCTTCCATCTGTTGTTGAGCTGCTCCACTCCTCAACAAACCACTCTATTTCTTAAAAGTTATTCTACATCCAAATAAGTAACGTCATTGTCTTAAACCTGTTTGTTGCAGCTATTTTTCAGCAAGAAATGCACCCAATCCTCGTCTAAGACCACTTGGAAAGCAGAGAGGTCCCTCTTTAGCTTCCATCTCTGCTCCCAAGTTGAAAACGCATTAGTGGAAAAACATAAATTGTTTGCAAAAAGACCCTAAAAAGGACAGGAACAAGAGGATTTGGGATTCAGTCCTGCAAGCTGTGCTGCTCCCTGACTCCAGCCCATAATATAAAAGCACTTGAGGCTGCAGAGGGCCCTAAGCAGTGAATGGGGTGAGGTTAAGCAGGAGCTGGAGTGCTCTGTCGGAGCCTGGCTGCAGCGTTCAGGTGATTAAGCCACAAATCAATGAACCTGAATGAAGACAAGCTGCATTTAAAGATAACCAGTAATCCCAAAAACCAACAGCCCGGGCTGGCATTGTGCTCCAAGTGCCTCAAACGAGCTGGGGAGAGGAGATTTCCAGAGCAGCCCCTGCCCTGCCTCCTCGCAGCAGTGCAGAACTCAGGGCAGATCCAATTACCCATTTCCCTTCCTAATCACCCTGCAATTACTGCCTTGAGCTGGCAGCCCCTCCTCGGGAGTCTCTGGGCTGTTCCCAAAGGGGAAGGGTGAAGGAGGAGGCAGCCAGGGAAATCCCAATGCTCCTCCGGGTGTGCCACCTTAAAATAAAACACCTACTCCTGGGGTATACAATACTTAAAAACACCTTTTATCAATGCCAATTTTTCTCAGTGAGAAACTTTGGTTGTTAAGTACTGAAAGCTTTCCCCAGCTCAAGTCACTGCTACAAATTTTGAAAGCAGCTTTTTGAGCAATAATTGTGCAATTAGCTTGGGGAAGTTGTCAGCAAACAAGGAATCGAGGAAAATTAAAAGAAGGGAAGATACAAAAATCAAACAAGATGAGGTTTTTCTCACATATGGAAATTACTCCAGGAAAAAAGAACCATTTAAATTGCCAATTTAACTGCCTGGCAGACGAAAGCACACAGAAAACACTTTTATAACAGACAAAACAAGAAGCAGCACCCTCTGCCATGCCAGGGTGGGCAGTGGCTACGTTACCTCTTGGTCAATGGTTTTGTATCCACACATAGTGTTGATAATGTCTGTCTGAAGAGAAAACAACAAATATGAACTGCAGCAGGAAACTAAAACCACAGAAATATTATTTTTACCCTGTGTTCACCCAGCTCATAGAAAAGCAACGACAGGGTTATTTCCCAGCCCAACAGTCAGATTTAGTCAGAGCTCCACATGATTTTAGAGCAATGAGTATTGTCAGTGTGTCACTGACAATTTGAGCCATTGCTATCCAACAAAAGCAGGGTGGCACCAGCATCCAAACCAGGCTGTGACAGAGCTGTGTGACACAGCTGCTTCCACAGAATGAACAGCTGGATTTCCTTTTAGAGCCTCAAGAACTTAACACACCTTATTACTAAAACCAGGGGTTAACACAGCCTTCGTGCCAAACTGATGACAAATTCAAGCTCAGAAATATTTTCAGTTCAAAATAACTTCCAACACTATGAATGCTGTCTACAACACTAAATTCATTAAAATATCCATACAATACCATCATATACACGAATATAACACTCATATGTTTAAAATGAGCTAAAATGAGACTCAGTGCTTGCATTCACCACACTTTCTGCAGCCATGTAATGCCTTCTGTGGGTTCCAAGGCTCTACCTTGAAAGCCTGGAAAAGCCAACCTGGAAATCATGAAAACAAAAATCATCCAGGACGCCGTGCCATAAGCAAATGCACACGGGGAGAGAAATGCATTGGAAACAGAGGATTGTAAGCATTTGGGACTAATTTCTATCTGCTCCACTAGTGTAAGTGTTTAATAAACAATTTGACATGAAGATAGCTCCTTTAGAGCCCAGCACTGGCTGCTGTTAGCAGGAGGCTTTCACAGAGGATCAGAAGCCAGGCACCCACATGAGCTGGAGTTTTCCATGACTACAAAGCCCATGAGTAATCACAAACCATATCTGCAGCTTTCCAGGACAGAAACCAGCCTGTATTTGGAAGGATTTGTCAAACACAGCAAGATTGATGCACCTTCTGGCTGCTTTTTCCTGGGGCAGCCACGCACAGCCCTGGTGCTGGCTCCACACAGGGCTCAGCACCAGCATCTCCTGCTCAGAGCCACCAGCCCTCACCATGCAGGGACCACACCTCCATCTGGGGCTTCTCCTGCCTTCCTTTAACTTCCCTGAGCTTCACACTTCATGGGATGCACGCAGCTAATCCTCCCTTCCCCAGCTGGCAGTGAACAGACTCCCTGTTTTTCCCTGGACAAGTTTTTATTTCAGCGCTTTCGCCTTTTCCTGAAGGCAAAATCCTGAGTTGTTCTGCTCCATCCAGCTGCAGGTTCTTTCTCTCAAAGCATCACTGTTCAGCTTTGGTTTGTGAAAATAAATCAAAGCTCATCACAGATTTAAACAGACCCATTCCCACACACCAAAAATGAGTGTGCACACGGAATAAACACCTTCCTGTGCTAGACATTCCTCAGCAACACCCAGCAGGATTACTGACACAACCACGGCATATGTTTTTCCCTTTTTTTTAAATTAAACAGCCATGCTCAAGGCAGATGTTGAAAGGGCAGCCCAAATGAGGCAGCAGCAGAATATCCATCATGAAGTCTGCTCTTACACACACCAAATCTCTTTATCCCATGATCAGACTGGAGACCAAACCCCAGAGAGGCAGGGGCTGCCTGTACTGGAGTCGTTGAGGAATTGTTCTTTATCAAATTCAGCATTACATGCATCCCTCAAATGAAGGGCAGTGAACTACAGAATTAATTAAAACACATTTGCATGAAGATCAACCCCTGCTCCTGGTGCCTCAGTTCATCACAGACTGAGAAACTGGTCCAGCCTCCAGGGTTTTACAGGCAGGTGGTTTTCAAGGATAGGTTGGGACAAAACTGTGCCCAAAGCATGCCCTCACCCTGAGGTCACATTTTTGGGTTATTCTGGAGATGACAAGGTCGTTCTGAGTGGTTTTCAATCCACTCTGACCCCCCAGCCATGGAAGCCACCAGGTCCCAGGCTGCCTGGCAAAGCTGGAGCAGCAAACCCTGGAGAAAACACCAACAAAAGTGAATTTTAAGCAGCTCTGGTTCAGGTGAGCCACGAGATTAGTGGAGCTCCCAACATCCCTGTTGGGATCCTCTGGGAGGTGGGTCAGTGAAATGGACCACAGCCAACAGATCTAATCCATTATTTCCTCCCTTTCAAGCTGTCAAGCCCCACAGATCCATCAGGGGAGCAAAGGACCCATTTTCCTTCATTTCTTCCCCAGATTTCCTGAAATCAGCTTCTTTTTGGGTGAACAAAGCGCCAGGACTCACCTTGTTCCTGATGCAGCAAGTGTAGGGCACCCCACAAGCCAGTGGTCCTGGAGCCTCACAGTTGTGGTACACGTTCTGGGACCAATCTCTATAATCCTCCCCACCACAGCACTTGAACTGGAGAGAAAAACAAATATAAAATTTAAAAAAGTCACAAAACTCAATGATCTTTAAGGCCTTCTCCAACATAAACGGTTCTGTGATTCCAAAAGGAAAAGGAAAACAAAATTTCTACCTTAAACTCCTTGAAAACAAAGTGAGAATAAAGCAATTTTAAAATCCCTGAGCTACCAAAAAATTCTATTTCCAGATCTGGCCATCATTCAGCAGTGCTTTTACATTGACCTGCAATCTACCTCTGCAGTTGTTTTAAGGGTTCCAATCACATTTCCAACTGTATCCAAACGACAAAAGAATTGCTCCAAGGCATAAATTCATCTCACCAAAACATTGTGGGTGTAATATAGAAGAACTGAAAGCTGGCAAACAAGTACTCTAAGTTTACACCGACTTAATATAAATATTCCCTGTATAATTTAAACCAAGGGGAAAGGAGGAGCTCATTTAATCACTAACATGAACACAGCCATCATTTTGGGCAGTGCATGGAAAATTTAAAGCATCATGAAGCCTAATGACAAAATTTCCTCAGGATGCTCTGCTTCTGACAGACTTTCCATGCTAACTTTGTTTTCCAAAGCAGGCTGCCATCTCCATAACGATGTCCTAGAACATATGGAGCACTTCCTAAGTCAATTTTTTAAATTACCATTACTTGGCATGGTCACAGACATCTCACATGGGCCCTGACATCACCTTGCTGAACACTTGTTGCTTCTTCTACAGCCTCTGAGCTGCAAGGCAGAGCTCCTCAATAACCCAATAAACATTTCAGCAGATCAGCCTCATTAAAAAATAACATTAAAAAAGGCTGTGAGTCAGCGCCACGTGCCATTAAGTAATGCCCAGCTGGGCTCAGCACAGCTTCTGGATTTTAATGACAGGTAAATGCTCTTCCAGTGGTGTTTCCCACAGCTCTGTGCATGCCCTCGAGCAGCCACACAACTGTGGCACCCTAAATGCCACCTCATTTCTCTTTATTTCTCTTTTTCCAGTGCCTCCTGTCACCAAGATGCTTCTCAACCTCCTGCACCAGCCAGCAGAAGCACTGAGTGCCAGGCATGGCTGGAATTTACGCTGAATTCACCTCAATCCAGCTGTGGGGCCTCTATAAACCTACAGGTTTGTGGGATCTGACCCTGAGCATTAGAATTGCACCTGCCAAGGCAAAAGCTGCATTTTGGGCCTCTCTTTTTGCAATGATGTGAGAGGGTTTTAAATTTTAAAACCATTTAAATGGTTTTAAATCCAGCTGGAATGCTGCAGGAGCCCTGACCTCAGCAGCAGCACCAAAAGAGATGACAGACAAAATCTCTTCCCCCTCATCAGTAACAACCTGATTGGCACACCACTGGAAAAACTCAAAATTAGTCCAAGGGGAAAACAAAACAACAAACCTGCTTTTGAACAGAATCCATGATGTTCTTGAAGTCTAAATCATCATAGTAATTCTCAATTCCTCTTCTAATGTTATCATTCAGAAATTTGATTGTCTAGAAAGCAAAAGGAAAACAAGATCCATGGGTTGCACAATGGGCACATGGGCTGGAACAGAGTTAGAAGAGCAGCTTAAAGTGACAAGTGTAACCAATGTCACCACCTTCCAGGAATTTTATTTTCCATGAATTTTCCACTAATTTGATTTTCCAAAGAGTCCATAATTGCCAGATAGAGAGCTTTGCTCCAGATGGAGTGGAAAAAAAGGTGTGTTTGTATGTTTTACAGTGGTTGTTTTGAGAAATACAGCAGTGTGGCGACAGCAGATGTAAAATGGTGTCTCCTCAGCATGGCATACTAAAATTAAATCAACAAAGTGTTTTTAAAGTTCAGAAGATAAGAGAAAAGGAAAAAAAAAAAAGATAATTTAGTTTGCAAGATCCAGCACAATCTCAGCACAGCAAAACCAGGGACTAATCACTACCAGAATGTAACAACTTTCCTTTCAATCCAGCTGCTGAAATGACAAAGTTAAAGCCTTGCAGGTCAGAAAACCTGAAATACACCCACTCATCTTCTCAGCATTACAAACTGCAACACCCACAAACAAAAAGGATTATCACATCAGTGATGAGAAATAATACAGGACCCTCCTAGCTGGTCAAAAACCTCATTTAGAATCTACAGATTTGAAAAGGAAGTGGAGAAAGAAATGGGGAAAATGCACATGACATGCAAAACAAACAGGACATACATAGAGGCTACCACAGTAAGCTTCCATAAATACTTTCTTGTTCTCCCCACACTAGCCCAAACTTCTCCACTAACCTTGAAAAACAAGGGAAGAAAGCTGTCCCTAAGTGTAGCTGTCCTGCTACAAATCAAACCATAGACATCTAGTCTTTGCCATAGTGAATACATTTATGTTTTAAAGCATTTCTAACTGAATAGTTCTGCTGCTTTCTGTGCAGAAAAATCAAGGGTTGAAAACAGCTATAGCATGCTTGTCAATGATGGAGTCTCCTGTATAAATCTGTTATCTTGCTTATGGATGTGGGCAGGGAAGGGCTGTCCTTTCACTGAGGCAAAACATTTGGGCCATTAAAAAACAATAGCCTCCAAATCCGTCTGGAAACGTCCCAAATCAGCAGCCAGACCCAGGTGGCCAAACAGAAGAAAGCATTTTGTCCTCCACCAAGAGCTGGAAACTCATCCTGCCTGTATTGCACATTTGTAGCCACCAGATTTCCTCCAAGCTCCTTAACCTGGAATTCCTCTCCAGAATGGTGGCAAACCCCATGGCTGAGCCCTGAAAATCATTTCCTTATCTCTTCCACAACCACTCCTCCCTGGGAGGGGAACACCTGCTGATAAGAGGCCATTGAATGTCACTGCGTGGCTGATAAGAACTATAACATCCCATTGGGAGATGTGAGCCCACAGGGAGGAGCCAAGCATTGCTACCTGGATATAATCTGGAGATTCTGGAACACCAGCCAAGCATTCCTGCCTGGGTATAATCTGGAGATTCTGGAGCACCAGCCAAGCATTCCTACCTGGATATAATCTGGAGATTCTGGAGCACCAGCCAAGCATTCCTGCCTGGGTATAATCTGGAGATTCTGGAACACCAGCCAAGCATTCCTGCCTGGATATAATCTGGAGATTCTGGAGCACCAGCCAAGCGTTCCTGCCTGGATATAATCTGGAGATTCTGGAACACCAGCCAAGCATTCCTGCCTGGATATAATCTGGAGATTCTGGAACACCAGCACGGCTTCTCCACGGGATTCCCCAGAGGAACAGCAGCTGTCTCTCCTTCCACTGGATCTTCAGAGGAAGAATACATCCTTCTCTACAGGATCCCCTTGCTCCAACAGAACCACCCCTGACACTGCAGGAGGGCTGCAGTCACATTTCCAATGGGACTGCCACCAACACCCTGACCCACAGGGTGTCAGGTTGGGTTCTGACTCTGTCAGCATTATCCTAGTGTACTGCATTGTTTATTTTATCCTTTTATTTTCTTCCCTATTAAAGAACTGTTATTACTGCTCCCATATTTTTGCCTGAGAGCCCCTTAATTTAAAATTTATAACAATTCTGAGGAAGGGAGGGTTTACATTCTCCATTTCAGGAGAGGCTCCTGCCTTCCTTAGCAGGCACCTGTTTTTCCAAGCCAAGCCAGCAGCTGTTGTTTAGCAGAGCTCAATCCTGCCAGCACCTGAAGCAAGCAGCTCACCTGGTTCCTGAAGATCAGGGCCACCACTCCACCTGTCAGCTCAATCAGCAGGCAGATTCCAAGGATGTACATGAACTGCAGGAAAACAAGTGCAAGTGAGTCATTAGCCAGAACTCCAATTACTCTTGCAATTAGTTCCTTCGAGCCCAGCATTCTATTGCCAATAGACTTGGCTTTCAGCATGGCATTTTAAAGGAAAACACAAAATTGTGGGTTTGCTCTTATGAAACTGTCAATGTCAGGAGAAAGCCTTTTTTCCTCACTTAAATTATTCTGGGTTTTGCCCAATTGGCAAGCACATTATTTTTCTGCTCTGAACGGACTCAAAACCATTAGATGAAATTATCCTGCCAAGATTCTCCTTTCCACACCAGCATCCCAGAGAAGCACATTGATGGGCTGATGCAAACCCCACCACGCTTCATGTTTTTATGTTTGCTTCCTACAAAACCAGTACTCACCTGTTGGCTTTCAATTAGTGGATAAAGCAGCAGCACACCTTAAGATAATCCAAACCACCTTCTTCTACACTGCCAGTGCTAAATCAAAGCAAAATTCCAGGCTTAGTAGCTTTTAACGTGTTGCTTCCCACATTTATTTGCCTGTGTATGTGCATGTGCTCACAAGTGCACTCACAACCACGTGTGCATCCATGACTGCCCATCAAAGCACGTGCAAAATGTGAAAAATATTTAAAAAAACACACTGCACTGTGAGAGAGCTGCTGCATGCCAGTATTTGAAATGTTTTTCCAACCCTTCAGGCATAAAAGACAGGTGTTGGGTGAATTTAGGTCTGCTGTGTAACAATGAGCTGCATCAGGAGCGAAGTTTCCAGATCCCTTGTCTGAAAATAATCCCTCATGCTCTCCCCTGAAAGCTGCTTTAGCTCCTGTGTGCTCAGGGTCAGGAATTCACCAGACAGGTGTCTTTTCTCCTGCTAAATCAGGAATCTGCCTGGGAAGCTGGCATCAGGGACTGCTTTGTTCAGTGCCCAGCTGGGTTTGCCTCCAGGATGGGAACAGAAAATGTTCCTGGCATCCAACACACTACCATGCTCAGTGGGGAAGAAGCCTGAGGAGGGGCTCTCAGTAAAATTCCAGTATAACTTCAAAATCCATGGTTATTTCTGGCCTTGCCCTCCGTAACAAACCAGGAATTTAGCATTTTGTTAGACTGCACTGATGTGACAAGGCCAGGCTGGGTCAGGTTTGGAGCAGCCTGGTCCGGTGGAAGGTGACCCTGCTCACTGCAAGGGGCTCAGACCAGGTGGCCTTTAAAAGGTCCCTTCCAGCCCAAACCCTGTGTGATTCTGTGCAGGTGGAAATGAAGTTTGCACTCCTTCATTTTAATTACTCACATGTGCAGCTTCCATCTGCAACCACAGGAATTTCCCTAAAATCCACCTTTCCAGAGGCACTGGGGAGAAAAACCCTGTCCCTGTTATTTCACCCTCTGAAAGCTGCAGGTCTCACTCTGAACACACATTTCTGCATCTCCCCTCTGCACTGCACTGCCCAGGGAGGACAGGCAGACTCTGGCCACTGAGGCAGGGCTTTTCCCCTGAGCTGCTTCCTGACACCCAGCATCAACAGGCACGTCAGCAGCTGAGTTTGCACAAGTGACTGATAATATCTCACATTCCTGCTCGTTTTCCATAACACCTGAACTGAGAGTCAATTAAAACTTTTAAAAAAGAAACCTCATTAAAATATTTTTCAGTGCAGGCATAATTCTGGGTGTGAATTCAGAGTACAGTGGAAAGCAAAAGCAACAAGCCTCAGAAACTAGGAATAAAAATTTTCCAACACTTACTGCTTGCAGGAGGCATAAATTGTCTCTCAGAGAAGCCAGTACACCCACAAAGGACACCAGGAACATTACAATGCCCAGAAGTATTAAAATAATTGCTGGAGCTAGAAAGGCACTTTCTAGAGTTTTGTACTTCTGTCTTTCAATTTCTGCATAAATCCCAACGGCGAGGACGAGGGCTCCGATCACCTGGAAGAGAAACAGATTATTTAACATCAATAACATGTTGTTTTTTCTGCCAGTAAACACAGAGATGACAGGCTGTGAGTACACAGCAACCTGCTACTGCTCACTTCAGGATTCATTACAAACAATGAAACATCCAAAGCAGAAGTTTGGATTAAAAACAAAATTAAAAACCCTCAAAGACTAAAGAAGAAAAAGAGCTGAGTTGGAAAAAAAATGAAAGTTGTTCACTTCAAAAATATATTTCATCATGTTTTAACATTCTGGTAGTTAAACTAATCAAAATATACTTCACTGGCTGAAATGTAATTTATTACTCATCTGAGATCACATATATTACATATATGAGCAACTGCCATGGCATTAATGACTCTCCTTTCTGTGTTTGTCTGTCCTTCTCTCTGTGTGTATAAATATACAGAAATATTTATGTGCTTCTAACAGAACCAGTTTCCAGGCTGGTCTGCAAACAGCCTGTCTGTCCCTTCATAGTAACTCCTAGCTGTATTTGGGCTCAGTAAATACAGTCAGATATTTCCTATACCTCCACTCCTGCTGCCAGCAGGAGAAAGGCACCAGATTAAAAACTAAAAAAAAAAAAAAAAAACAAAACCAAAAAACAAACAGCCAAGTTTGAAATTATATCACTTCCTTGAGCAATTACCAGATTAAGCTGACAAGTGAAATAGGAAGGGACAAATTTCATTTAACAAGGTAAAGACATTTCAATCAAAATAATCAGATAAGTCTAAAACATTTGGTAATAGGAAGGGACATATTTCCTTTAACAAGGTAAAGATATTTCAATCAAAATAATTAGTTAAGTCTAAATCATGTGGTATTAAAACTGCAGCGTGCTGCAAATCACTTTGAATTATGCTGAATTAATTAAAATTAAAAATATCCCACAATAGTTAATTACAAAAATTGCAGTGGAAAAACTTTGCTGCCGGCTCCAGCAGCCAGACACACCATCAGGGAAGGGACCAGACACAAATCAATAATCCTGGCAATGTGATAAACAACACTCCCCTCTCCTGCCCTGACATTGCCACAGGAAACACGAGTCTGCTCTCTGCACAACAAGGCTTCTTAATTATACCTCTTAATTTTTAATTTCACTTCTTCGTTTGGGATGTGACACAGTACATCCCACACAAAGGGCCACAGGGACTCACAGTGTGAGTTACCAGCTCGTGAGCCAAACAGCTGAAATACTTTTTTAATTATGGGATAGCTTAAAATAAATAGAAACTTACTGGAAGTTCCTGATTTTCTGTGGAAATGAATAATGCCACCAAAGGACAATATGTAGAGAATGCCACCACTTTGTCATTTTAGGACAGAAAATTCTCAGAAGGCTTCACCCATAAAAAGGAAATATGCTGAAGCTATTTAAAAAGCAACTTAAAATCTGAGCAAATTGAGAGTAACCCCAAAACCAAATTCTCCTGCAAACACTGAAGTGCCATTACCAGCAAAAACTCTTCCCTGGTAGAGCCCTTGTTTCAAAAGTAAAAAAAATAAACACTGGATGGAAACCACAGGTTTTAAAGCTTGATGGGGATTATCAGAATTTCAACAAGAGTGCTGTTTCAAGATTGGAACTTTTTACTGAAATGTCTTTTTCTTAACCACAGTTTTCTCATCAAAGCATTAAATTTCAGGGGGAATTTTGACTAAAAGGTCCCTGGGAGTAAAATACAAGATACTTCCTACTTTTAGAACTTAAGATACATAAATACATATAGCATCTTTATATAGACATATCCTCATCCATTTTCACTTCCATCTGTGCTCCCACACCCTCCTAAATGAAAGATTTATGCTTTCATTATCTTCTATTTTCTCAAGCATTTAATAAAATTATTTTTAAGCTTTAACATAGTCAAACCAAGAGCAGCATTCAGTGGTGGCAAGGAGCTGTGCAAACCCAGCATCCATCCCATCCTGGGCCCTGACTCACACCAAGTGAGCATCCTCCAGCAAACACCAGGGGATTTCTCTCTGGGGCTTCTGCACACACACGAGCTGCTTTCCCAAGAGAAAGGAGAAGAATTCATTCATTAGCAGAAGCTTTAACCCTGTGTTTGCAGTTCTTCCTCTTAAATAAAGCTCAGCTTCTGTTTAAAACGCTGGGTTTTGTTTCAGCTGGGCAAGAAACTTACATGACAACCCCATTCACCCCAAATTACATCACAGCCCCATTCACCCCAAATTGCATTACAGCCCCATTCACCTTAAATTACATGAGTCCCATTCACCCCAAATTGCATCACAGCCCCATTCACCCCAATTTACATTACAGCCCCATTTTGGGGCATCTGAAGAGTTACAGTGACAGCAGTTTTAAAAAAGCCCAGGGTGACAGGGGAACCCACAAGGTCTGTAGCAAACATCCCCCCCGGCAATCCCAGCAATGCTTTAGTTTCCTTTCTGCTTTGGATAAGGCTGGTATTTAATTCCTGGGGCTTTAAAGCCATCCTGGGGACTCAGATCTGGGACTTCATCACCCACGAGGTACCAGAGGAACTGCATCAGCAGGGAGGGAACCGAATGAACTCAGCATCCAGCAGGAGAAACCCCAAACAGCAGCACAACACCGAAAACCACCCAACGCTCAAGAAAGCCAACGCTCCCACAGCTTTACTTCCATTTACACTGATTAACGAGAAAAAACCCAAACCAACAGAGTCAGCAGTGCTGAGAAGAGAAGTGACATTTCCAGCTGATGAGATCCGCTTGGCTGAGCCGCAACAAAAGGAGATGCCGCGGGCGATGCCCACACGCCTCACACAGCACCAGCAGGATGATGCCCACCACCAGCCACCCCAAAACACCCCCTGTCATGCCCATCCCTCCTTCCCCCCCTGCCAGCCCCATCCTCCCCCCTCCCAGAGCAAACCATCGCCCCCAGCCAACAAATGGAAGCTCTGGTTTATAAACCAGGGCAGAGCATTGAAAATCCAGAGCCAGCGACTACAAAGAGTAAATAAAACCCTTGGGCTGCCTGAAAGAGGCTTTGTGCTCCGGGGATGGATTCAGAAGGGCCCTTTCTGTGCCCGCAGAGGAATGTTTACATCCCACCAGCCACGGCCCTGCTGCCGACTGAAAATGCAGGGCAGACAACGAGCACGGACCTCTGCATGGACATGCTGCAAAAAGGGGTCTGGAAAATAATACAAAATTAAATAAATAAATTCGAATTTCCCTTTTCCTGAAACTCACAACGGCAGAATAGCTGTGGAGGAACACAGGGAGCATCAGGAGTCTAAACCCAAGGGTTGGTTTGTCTGCTAAGACAGACAAAAGATATCCGAGATCCCAAACCGCCTGAATTGCACCCAAACTCTCTGCATTTCAGTCTTTGTTCATTAAAGCCCAGGGTGAATCTGACACTCTCTATCAAACCTAGTGGATCTAAGCCTCTTCTCCCACGCAGCAAAGCAAAAAAAAAAATCCTCATGCTCCCAGCTGGTAAACACCATGTCAGACAAAAACAGACCAGCCAAACCAGAACTCGAGCAGCGCTTCAAGTGAAAAAGCCAGATAGAAAAATCCCTGCCTGAGCACCTCTGACACCAGCACCACCTGGAGCCAGCATCTTCCAGTATCCCAGAGCCTGAAAAAGGCACCTGTAAAAATCAAAGAAAGAGGAAGAGAGAGAGAAAAAGAGAAAAGAGGGAGAGAGGGAGGGAGGGAGGGAAGGAAGGAAGGAAGGAAAAAAAGAAAGAGAAAGAGAGAAAAGAAAGAAAGGAAGGAAGAGAGAGAAAGAAAGACCCACTTGCTAAGGGCTCCTTCAGCCCGGGGGTGCCTGCTGTGGATTTACCACACCTCAGAACTCAGTGCCCACAGTCTGGTCCCATCACCTGGGACTCTCTGCCTTCACCTGGATGAGGACAGAAGTGCCACCCACCTGTGTCTGTCCAGCCTGGCAGCCTCACCCTGCCGAGCACAGGACATCCCCACACAGCGGGGAGGGACGCTGTGGGCAAAGGCTCCGTGCGGGCAAAGGCTCCGTGCGGGCAAAGGCTCCGTGCGGGCAAAGGCTCCATTGCCCACCCGCCCCTCAGGCAGAGCCGCGTTCCCAGCGCACCCGAACCCTCTCCACCTGCCAAACTCCCAACCCATCCGCCAGAACCAGTCCGTCCGTCCCTCGGCAGGGTGTCACGGCCACGGTGTGACACTCCCGGGTGTGACAGCCGCGGAACACCCCCGCACTGCCGGAGAGGCCCCTGCTCACCCAGAAGGTGGTGGAGTAGGTGATGAGGCTCAGCTTGAGGCACAGGTACGAGAGCCGCCCGCAGTACCGCGCCTGCTCCGGGTCCCCCGCCGCCATCCTCCGCGGCACCTGCCGGGCCCGCCGCCGCCCCTCAGCGGCCCTCCGCCCCTGCCGGGCCCTCCACCCTTTCCCGGGCCTGCCGCCCCTCAGCGGCCCTCCCCCTGCCGGGCCCGAGGGCCGCCCCGACGGGCGGGCCCCGCCAGCGCTTCCGGCACCGGGAGCGACAGCGGGAGCGGCTGGAGCGGAACGCGGGAGCGGCTGCGGAGCTGCGCCTTCGCCTGTCGTCTTTTTTTTTTTTTTTCTTTTTTTTCCTCTTTTCTTTTCTTTTTCTTTTTCTTTTTCTTTTTCTCCTCTCCTCTCCTCTCCTCTCCTCCCTTTCTTTCCCTTCTCTCGGCGAGCAGACACCCGGCCGCTCTCTCTCTCTCTCTCTCTCAGGCTTATCCTCGCAGCAGAACCAGATCCGGCTGCTCCCACAGGAATCTGGCAGCACTACCCGCATCCCCAGAGCTCTGCCATGCCCATTGGAACAGCCGGGACAAAAATCCGCCCCCGGGAAGGCTTTTTTGCTGGAGCATCCCAAAACTGGCAGAGCAGACTCCGTGCTCCGGGGTCCATTGGCAGGATCCCTGCTCCCTTTGCCAGCACGAGGAAGCGTTCCAGGGCATGTCCCCCTCTCCGTGTCATCCAGGCCGTTGCACATGCAGGGAGGGTCAGGTGTGACCGTGTTCACAGGGATTCTTGGATGAGGGAAGAGACGAGGATCTGACTCCATGTTACAGAAGCCTGTAAAAATTTATTATTTTTTTATATATATTACATTAAACTATACTAAAAGAATAGAAGGAAGGATTTCATCAGAAGGCTAGCTAAGAATAGAAAAGCAAGAAGAATAACAAAAGCTTGTGTCTCGGACAGAGCCCGAGCCAGCTGACTGTGATTGGCCATTAATTAGAAACAACCACATGAGACCAATCCCAGATGCACCTGTTGCATTCCACAGCAGCAGATAACCATTGTTTGCATTTTGTTCCTGAGGCCTCCCAGCTTCTCGGGAGAAAAAACCCTAAGGAAAGGGTTTTCCATAAAAGATGCTGTGACAATCAGGTCCTGCCCATAACAACAGCACAGTGCACTGGCCATGGGCTGTGCCTGTGTCCATCCCCATCCCCAGCAGCGCCGAGCTGGATCATGAACTGTGAATTCCATCCCTGCCCCCGAGATGCAATCAGCCCTTTCCAGCCCGCCGTGCTGCTCTCCTGTCCCACAAAGGGCTATTTACCCCCGGGGAGAACAGCCCCATTCAGAGCGGCAGACACTGTCACAGAGTGGGTTGTTTGAGGCTGGCCCGAGCAGAGACGGATGGCATTGAAATCAGTGTCTGCTGTCAGGGGAGATGAAGTGGGGCAGCGTTTATCCCTAAGTCACCCAGCAAAGAGACTGGGAAACCTCTGAGCTGCCTGTGAGAGCTGTGTAAACATTGTCACACATCGTTTCTTTAGGTCGCACAATGCACCAAAGTCTCGTTTCTAAAGGCTAAAAAATGTCCCTGGATAATTCTGTTATAAAAAGTACTATTGCTATTGCCTGCAGTGCTACTACATCCTGCTTCTGGAAACAACACAGCCCAGGAGACTCCCCGCAACAGAACAGCTCTTCACCTCTAATGCTTCTGACAGGAATACAACGTCCTGGAGCAGTCATCCTCCGAAATATCAACAGCCTCGATTTTCAGGGAGATGTTCAAACACCCCTGATGCTCAGCAATGGCATGCAGCTGGGAATCCCATCCCATGGAGCTGCTGGGAATTAGTGTCTGTCACATGGTCCCCATGTCTCAGGGGTGTCATTCATATCCAAGGATGCTCTTGTCACTTAGGCATCTTCCTTGTTTGACTGTTTAATTAAATTAATTGCTCTGGTTTGATTTTTTAACACCTTCCCTTGTCCCTTGTGCTGATTCCTGCGCATAAAATTTCAGGGCACATCCTGCTGGACGGGGAAGCTGAGTAAAGGAGTGTCTCTTTTCCTGTTGTTTTCCCTCAGAACTGAGTCAGTGTATCAAAACAGCTTCCTGTTTTGAACCTGCACGACCAGAACTGGGCAATCACTTTCTTTTCCTGAATCCCAGACTTGGTCTATACAAATGGCAAGATTCCTGGACACAGTTATAGTTAGGCAGCAAATGGTGGTTAAAGATTTTTCCTAAGGGTCCATCAGGATTGGGTTCTCTGCCCCTGAGCCCAGTGCAGCACAGGGCTACAGTTTCCAGCAAAGAGCCTGGCAGATTGTTCATTACAGCATCTGCTCCTGGGACCATCCAACAACACAGCTAGCAGTGGTTTTGTTCATATTGTGAAAAATGTGTATTTTATGACTGGCTTTTCGCAAATATTTAAATGAATATTATATGTGTTATGTTAGAGAGTTATGCTGTATTCATTTTCTTAAGTAGTGTGTTAAATATAGTTGTAGGTTATAACAAAATGTTAAAATAGAAACCATGCTAGGTAAGATACCTTTTTTTAAAAGAGAGGACTTGCACCAACATAGCAGCCACAGGACACCCAAATCTTTCAGAGAAACAGAATTTATTGCTCCATTATCGAGTTCTTCCCACCCTGCTCAGCCCTGAAGACTCAGTCAGGATCCAGAGGAAGAAGCTGACACTGCCCAGACAGAATCCTGGGTTTGGATGGAATTTATGCATCATGGATGAGGTGTATGAATATGCAAAAGGCTGTTGCTTTTAAGGGTTAATCCTCTGTTAACGTGGGGCATTTTTCAGGCTTATTTTGCACCTGGACTGTCTGTAACTCTTTGTTTTTATTGTCTCATATTGTTCTCATCCCAATTGTTGAAATTTTTATCACTCTAATTATATCACTATTTTTATAACCATTTTATTATCATTAAACTTTTAAAACTTTAAAAAACTAGTGATGGGCATTTTTCACAATATTAAGAACCAGTAACTTCCACGTTTCCTCACTCATGGCCAGGGGCTGTCCTGAGGACACCAAGAGCCATGGCCTGCAGACCATTCGCCCCAGGGCTTTGGGAGCTCTGCGGAAAGCAGCGAACCCTGCACCAAACCGTGTCAGAAAGCCCCAAAGCTTTTCAGTGCTTCCAGAGGCAATTTTGCTGCTTCCTCCCAGCCCAGCTCAGGCTGAGGGAGCTGCACTTTGCCCCAGCCCAGGTGGATGCTCCTGGTCCTCCTGGACAAAGGTTCTTCCTCCAGCAGCAGAGCCCAACTTGCAACACAATTAAAGCCTGCACTGCCTGTATTATTACCTTGAATTATGTTTCCAAAGCACAAAACCCCCCTCAATCTCCCTTCCTGACCTTGCAGACCCACATGCTTTGTTTGCACCTCTCACCCTTTGCTCAGACCCGGGGCTGGTGACTCAGCACTGTAACCATAATCCTGCCCACAATAAAAACAGCAGTGAAACCAGCCAAACCCAAACCCCCTGCTCTCAGGTAATCCCCTTTCTCAGGTGTAACCCCAAAACCACTGCTGAGGCAGGTTTTACCCAAATGTGGCTTCCCTGAGGAATCTGGAGCCAGCCTGTGCCAAAAATTGCTGCAGTTTCCAAGCCCAAAGGCTGACAGCACACACTAAAGGCTGGCCAGGCTCCAGGATGATAACCTTGTCAATGCTCAACCAGCACAGGAATAAAAGGAGTGGGTGTGGATGCAAATCCCTCCTGGCTCGTACGATGAAATGTTGGCCAAAGGGTGGCTGCTCCTCGATTATCACCTGAGCAACTGATCAGGAACCAGGGCGGATGGGTCACAAGAAGGTTCCTAAGAAACCTGAGCACCTTGAATGCCATCAAAGCCAGCCAAGAGAGGTTACAGCCTCCCCACTGAAGGGTCAGAGAGTGCAGCCCTTTTTATGAGCACTTGCTTCCCTTCTGCTTTCTATAACTGATAAACCACTTTGGTGCACTCCCCGTGAAATGTAGGGAGGTTTTTGCTCCTGTTCTTCAAGTTTTGCAGAGATTTCAGACAGCCTATTAATAAAAAATTTAAAAGAACACTATTAGCTGTCGAATTGTATTGCAAGCCATGAACAGCCCTCCTGAACTGCGTACAGAAAGTGGAAGGTCCCTGAGCTGCTTAATGAGGTGCAAGACTTGGAAGAAGCACCTGGAAGAGCTTTGCACTGCACTCTGGAAGATGTGTGCAAGTGTGCATTTTCAGTTTCTGAGCAGGGAAGTGAGAGGGATTACCTGCAGGGAAGAGGAACAGACATGACATGCAGGACTACAGGTATTGATTTCTTGAAAAGTGTGGAAAACGCCAATCACTTGTTTTTAAAACTTTAAAAGTTTAGTAGTAATAAAATGGTTATAAAAATAGTGATATAATTAGAATAATAATAATTTGGACAACTCGGATTAGGACAATATGAGATAATAAAAACAAAGAGTTACAGACAGTTCAGGTGCCTTTTCTGGGCAAAATAAGCCTGAAAAAGGCCCCACGTTAACAGAGGATTAACCCTTAAAAGCAACAGCCTGTTGCACATTCATACACCTCATACATGATGCATAAATTCCATTCAAACCCAGGATTCTGTCTGGGCAGTGTCAACTTCTTCCTCTGAATCCTGACTGAACCTTCAGGGCTGAGGAGGCGGGAAGAACTCGATAATGGAGCAATAAATTCTGTTTCTCTGAAAGATTTGGGTGTCCTGTGGCTGCTATGTTGGTGCAAGTCCTTTCTTTAAAAAAAGTATCTTACCTAGCACAGTTTCTATTTTAACAATTATGTTATAACCTAAAACTGCATTTAACACACTACTTAAGAGAATGAATACAGCATCACTTTCTAACATAACACGTATAACATTCATTTGAATATTTGTGAAAAGCCAACCAGAAAATACTCATTTTTCACAAAAAGCAGAGTATTGCAACAGAGAAAACATGCTTGAAAGAGTTGGTTAGGTGATGGGTTAACTCAAGGCTGCCTCCAGAAATCAATGAAGCAAGGAAAGATTCTGGGCTGAGGATGCAAAGGATCCTGAGCTGATAAACACTGCCCTGAGAGAGCAGTGTTTATCAGCTGATAAACACTGGCAGGAGAGCCTGCAGGAGCTGGAAAACCACTGCCACCCCAGCACTGCAGGCAGCTCTTCATACCTGCAACCCCTTCAGATCCCAGACGTGGGGCAGTGCCAAGTGCTCTTGGAAACCTCAGCCCCGAGTGTCACTTCTGGTTTGCTTTAAGCTGACAGCAAGCAGGAATGCTGCGCTCACAGCAGAGCCCGGGGTTCCTCTTTCCTACCCAAAATTTCTGCCTGCGCGGGGTCACCAGGTTCCCACAGCACACACTGGGTGTGAAAAACGCCAGTTGCTTGTTTTCAAAATTTTTAAAAGTTTAACAGTAATAAAATGGTTGAAAAGAATAGTAACGCAATTAGAGTAATAACAATTTGGACAAATTGAATTAGGACAATATGAGACAATAAAAACAAAGAGTTACAAACAAGCCAGGTACCTTTTTCTGGTCAGCACGAGCCTGAAAAAGGCCCCACGTTAACAGAGGATTAACCCTTAAAAGCAACAGCCTGTTGCATATTCATACACCTCATCCATGGTGCATAAATTCCATTCAAACACAGGATTCTGTCTGGTCTTCATCAACTTCTTCCCTCTAATCCTAATAGAGCCTTCAAGGTGGGAAGAAGTTTGTTTCTTCCGATAAGAAGGCAATAAATTCCCTTTCTCTGAAAGATTCAGGTGTCCTGTGGCTGCTATCTCACTGCAAGCCCTTTCTGTTAAACAAAGCATCTTACATAGCACAGTTTCTATTTTAACAATTTTTATAACCTAAAACTATATTTAACACAGTACTTAAGAAAATTAATACAGCATTACTTTCTAACACAACACATATAATATTCATATTAATATTTGCGAAAAGCCAATCATAAAATACATGCATTTTTCACACTGGGGAAGGAGATGCAGGCATCCAAAAGGAAGGATCTTGCTGAATTGCATCTAATACAGTTTCTCTCTTGCTGTGAGAGCTCACAGGAATTCAGGCAGGGTCCTGGAAACTCGAGGATTTCAGGACTGGTGAAACTGGAGCATTAACTACCCCTGCATGTAAGCCTGTAAAATCCTGACAGAGCAGCCTGGCCATTGCAGAGGTTATTGGAAACTGAGTGCAGCAAGGGGGGAAGCTTCACATACCACTTTGCTGCATTTAATTTGATGTCAAATTGGTTGTTTAGCTTTCCCCTGCAAGAGACTCCACCTCCTTTCAAAGTCCCCTTAAAACCTGTTGAGATTTTATCCCAGCGCACCTCCTGCCTCGTGCTGAATAGTTGCACAGGGAAAGAACAGCAAAGCTCCTCAGTCCCACTGCAGGGGATTCAGACACCTAAAACTGCTGCCCTGACAAGAGTTTCTACTTGGATTGAAGTTGGTTTTGGATTCCATTTATGTTTCCTTGTCCCTAAAAGCAATCTAAAGGAAGACATCGCTTGCTGCTCTCCTGGAATACATCTTCCTTTCCCTTTTTTTTTTCTTCCTTTTTTGGAGAAAAAAAGAAACTTGAAGAAGAGAGTTGTTCTTCAGTTTTTTTGCTCTTCAAGCATAGGCTAAAATGCCAGGGAAGAAGGAGGAGGCCCTTGGCATGGTTCATCTCCTCCTGGAACTGCACTGCATCACTCGGAACACAGGAGGAGAGGACACGAGACAGCTCATCCCTGTGTCCTTTTAACAGCACTTGCTTAAATGCATGGAAATTCATACAGCAGCATCCACGGCAAGGAAATGAGCAGGTGCCAGAAGATTTTCTTTCCCACTCACAAGAAGTGAAAGCCATGGGCGCGTTTTCTGTTTTTAACGCCAGCGACGTTTCGCAGGCCGGCTCCCTGGAGGATGGCAGCAACTGGACAGCAGCAACCCAGTTCAGCCAGCCAGGCTGGAGGATTGCTCTGTGGGCCATCACCTACTCCTTCATCGTCGTCACATCCATCCTGGGCAACGCCACCATCATCTGGATTATCCTGGCTCACAGGAGGATGAGGACGGCCACCAATTACTTCATCGTCAACTTGGCCCTCTCGGACCTGCTGATGTCCGCCTTCAACACCATCTTCAACTTTATCTATGCCAGCCACAACGTGTGGTACTTTGGTGAGGAGTTCTGCAGGTTTCAGAACTGGTTCCCCATCACTGCAGTGTTTGTGAGCATTTACTCCATGACAGCCGTGGCTGCAGAGAGGTAAGAGGCGAGTGGAGAAGGTGAGGTCCCAAAAGATCCCCTGTAAGTGATGGAAAAATACCATTGCAATAGTTTGGCCCCCACTCTGTCAGGTGCCTTATCAGCAAAGTGGAAGCAGTGCCAGGCTGTGGGGTTTGATGCTAATTGTGGCATGATCCTCTGGTTTTTATCCCTGGTCTGAATCACACCCCAATCTCTAACGAGTGGAAGTGGGCTGGTATTCTTGTTTTTCCCACATTATTGATCATAAATTGCTTCCCAATCATCCTGAAAACTCTTCTGTGGCTTTGTTGGGTTGTTTTAAACCGTGAGATTGATATATCTGGAAAAAGGAGAATATGCTGCAGGCTGCTGAAACTATCAGCAGCCCTAATCCTGCTGTGAGTCCAGCAAACCAGCAGAAATAATGGGAATTAGATTAGAAATGGCAGAGTCTGCTCCCCTGGTTCATTAGAATGACTTATTCTGAGAGGGAAGGAAGCAATTACAGTGATTCTGTTTGACTTCTGGGGCAATTGGCTATTTTCATAAAATTCACTCCCAACTGCCGAGTCACTTTTACTTAAGCTTTAATTTCTGGAGTCTGACTGTGTCTGACTGCAAATCCCTATTTAGAACAAATAGCAGCTCAGTTTTAATTACTCTTTTGCTGCTCCTGGCTGTAAATCAAGGGTTGTTGCTATTTTATACATGTTTTCTGACAAAGAATATTTTTAAAAAGCTGTTTCAGCCTGTTGTCACATCTTACACTTGGTTCCTTAGGGGTTTTTGGTGAAAGCACCTATATAGCCAAAATCCCTTTGGTCACGTGGCACAGATCAGAAAGAGAACTTGGCACCTCTCTGCAAACCATATTTAGCTATTCTTTGGTTGGCCTTAAAATAGATCCTGGAAACTCGACGCTTCCATTTATTGTTAAGAGGACTTGTGTCCACTCCAGCCGCAGTGTTTAACTTCTACAAAAACAACACCTTCTGAAGTGGTTTATTTTAAAGAAGAGGCTGAGGAGTGACAGCTCCAAGTCACTTTTGTCAGGCATGGAAAAGCCCCTGGTGATATTTCTCACTGCTGGGTTTAGGATCACTCCATTTCCCCATTCCCAGAGCAGCTGCTCCCACTCAGTGCTCGAGGCAGAAATGCAGCTTTATTGATCAGCTCCACTTTCACGCTCTGCTCAGCAAAGTCTCCTATGGCCTGCTTGGAAAGTGCACCAGAGGGTCCAAAATCCAGCTTGTTTTGCCTGCTCTGGAGAATACCCACCAGTGGATTCCTCCCTGAGCAGGCTGGAGCCCTGTGTGACACTGCCTATGGCAAGCTGAAGAAAAGTGAGGTGACATGAGAATTTTATAGCTAAATAAAGCCCTGGACTGCTCACTGGGCAGAGCTCCCTACCAACAGCCTGGCCAAGAAACAGCTCAGCTTGTCAGATTTTTCCTATGGAAACCAGGAGGCAATGGGCATTTTGGCATTTTCCACTCTACTTCGCCTTTGCTGCAACCACGACAAAGAATGGGGACAGCGCGACAAGAAATGCATAATTGATTGTGTACTCCTTACAACACCGTGCATTTCCACACAGGAAACTCAAAACCAGAGAGCTGCTGAGTAATCCAATAGTCAGATGTGCCTGAGGGCTCTGAGCAGGTGTGGGTGAAAGGGGCAGCCCTTCCCTCCTCTGCAAGCACAAGTGCTCAGGCAGCCACAGAGGATTTTCTACAGCCCAAAATCAGTGGGGAAAAAAAGGATAATCAAGAGCCCAGTCTGCTCTTGTGCTAATATGAAGCATCAGAGATGGACATAGTTAGGAGGAAAAAGCATCTTTGGCTGGGCTTTTTTTGGTAAGGCGCTTGCAAAAATAATTTAAATGAAAGAGCGAGAATGCTTTTTACAAGGGCCTGGAGTGACAGGAAGGGGGGAATGGCTTCACACTGATGGAGTGAAGGGTTAGATGGGATATTGGGAAGAAATCCTTCCCCTGTGAGGGAGGTGAGGCCTGGAACAGAGTGCCCAGAGGAGCTGGGGCTGCCTCATCCATGGAAGTATTCAAGGCCAGGTTGGACAGGGTGTGGAGCAACCTAGGACAGTGAAAGGTGTCCTGCCCATGGCTGGGGATTTTAATAATCTTTAAAGTGCCTTGCAACCCCAAACCATTCTGGGAATCTATGAAAAATTCCCTAAGGGGAATGCTTGCAAAGCCTGTCTGCAGAAGACATAAAGGGCTGCTTCCTCCTCACACCAGCAGCATCCATCCACGTGGGTTTCATAAATCCTGCCCTAAGACTTGCAGTCATTCTCTCCAGAAGGGATTTAGCTCCTTGTTATTTACAGCCTGTCAAAATGTTAACAAAGCCCACTGACTCCTGGTGAGTTTTTACTCTTGCTGGGTTTGTTGTGCAGATTGCCAATCTCACTATACATAATAAAAGCACCGCACCTGTTTGTTGCAGGTACGTGGCCATCATCCACCCCTTCAAGCCCAGGCTGTCTGCTGGGAGCACCAGGGTCATCATTGGCATCATCTGGCTGGTGGCATTCGGGCTGGCCTTCCCCCAGTGCTTCTATGCTGAGATCACCATGGACAATGGCACCATGAAGTGCATCGTGGTCTGGCCTGATGATGTGGGATCCAAGCACCAGCTGGCGTAAGAGGCACCATCAAACTCCCAATTCAGCCTAGAGTGGAGCAGGAAAATCATTTCAGCTCCAAGCTGCTGCTGTGGGGAGTGCTGGGAGAGAGCAGCACAACGTGGGGCTGGGGCAGCCCATCTAAATTCAGTGTGCAAAAAGCTGCCAGGTGATGGTGGCTATGGGTAATGCTGAACCTGCCACCCTCCCCTGCTTTGAGAACTGGTTATAATGTCCAGAAACCCTACACACAGTGTGATGGTGTTCACAGGGGTCCCAGGATGAGGGAAGAGACGAGGATCTGACTCCATGTTTCAGAAGGCTTGATTTACTATTTTATGATATATACTACATTAAAACTATACTAAAAGAATAGAAGAAAAGGTTTCATCAGAAGGCTGGCTAAGAATAGAATAGCAAAGAATGATAACAAGGGTTTGTGTCTCAGACAGAGAGCCCAAGCCAGCTGACTGTGATTGGCCATTAATTAGAAACAACCACATGAGACCAATCCCAGATGCACCTGTTGCATTCCACAGCAGCAGATAACCATTGTTTGCATTTTGTTCCTGAGGCCTCTCAGCTTCTCAGGAGGAAAAAGGGAATTATTTTTCATGAAAATATGTCTGCGACAATACAGGGCTTGGGGAATTTAAGAGAATCCTGCGCAAAAAGTCTCTGAACAATCAGTAAATCTTGGTTTCAAAGGTTCTGGATTTCCTTCCTCTGTCAGGCAGGAGGAAACTGGGTATCTTTAATGCTGAGAAGCCAGGTAATTACTTAAAAATTATTCTGCTCTTTGTGGGGTAAAAGGAAAGTAAAACCTGAGAACAGCATGGTTCAAACATCCCAAGGTTTTATAGGTATATTTATCTGGGCACACATCTGCACTCCTGAGGGTTCCTGAGATTATTTCCTCCTGCCTGAAAGCAAGATTGTTCAAACAGATGAAACGGTCCATACCCTGCATTCAGGGGATCTGCTGGGATTACTCATCACTCAGAGCACACCATGCACCTTTGAGAAATTTATCAAACAAAACAGCTGGGTGCCTCCTCAACTCAGCTTTTACCAAATTAACTGATTTTCACACTAATGTGAAAAAAAAAATTGAGAGCTGGGTTCCTGTGCTGACTGTGTGTCCTCTGAATCCTTTGCAGTTGAATAAACCCACCTTTCAAGATTTCCAGACTTCAGAACATAGGAAAATCCTCTTCTGCAGGAAAGATGTGCGTGATTATGACAGAAAGAAGTAAAAACAACAACAATAATAATAATAATAATAATAATAATAATAATAATAATAATAATAATTTTTTAAACCACAAACAAATGCACTACTGACTGCCAGTGCCTGAAAAATGCTGGATATAAAGGATATAGAAGATTAACCAGAGTAAAGAACCTTAACCACAGAGGGTTTTTTATTTCCTAGCGACAGGTTAACTTGAGCCTGGTCAGACTCACAAAGAGCATTTGCACCCCCCCAGCAGTGTGTGCCAGAGCCCTGCTGCCCAATCCTGCTTTTCCCTGTGTTTATGTTCATTTGGCAGTGCTGCAAGGGACTGGGCAGGTTGTTCCCTTCCCATAAATGGTGCTTGCTCAAACTCATCAGCCCCCAGAGGAGGGAGCCTGCAGGAGTCTGTGGAGTGGCACAGAAAGCTGGAAAGGGCTGAGGTTAAAATGCAGCTGAGGGGATGTCAGTGCCTTCAGCTGGAGCAGAGCCTGAGTGCCCTGCTGGTGGTATATATAATATATATATATATATAATTCATTTGATAAAGGAATTATGGTGGTGGCACATTAACTGTGTGTGCTCACACAAATACAAACAGCCAGATACACAAACACAGGCAACACCCCTCCTGTTGTTATCTTGTATTTCATATTTCTAGAGTCCCAAGCCTTCTCGGTGATATTTCTTGGGGGCAGTTTTTCACAGCACAGACTTCTGCTTGTTGCTGCTTCTTAGTCAGGGCTCCTTCCAGGCTCACCTTGACTGGCCAAGCCCACCTCCTTTTACCCCAGTTATCTTCATTAGCTACAGCTGCAGCCCAATTAAGGACATCACAGCTGCAGCCCATCAAAAACAACCGGGGCTTATCAGGGCAAGGCCAATATACAGATATTCAAATACAATACAGATATTCAAATACAATACAGATATTTTACTAGGACTCCTACTATACCCTCCCTCACTATCTGCATTTTGTGCACCCTGTTAGCAGCCAGGTACCTTCCACAGTCCCAGATCTGCCGTTTTTCCCACTGCTGCATTCATGGAGTTAATCTGTAGTTTCTGGACTATTCCTTCCCCTTACCTGTGATTTAAGGGTTGTGCTTTTACCACCATCTCTCTCTGTCCTGGCTGCAGGGGGATAGCAAAGCTCAGTGCAGGGGGCTCTGGAGTGCAACCCTCTGCCAAAAGATAAATGATGTTACTCTGCCTTAAAGGAGCAGGAAATCCAGCCCAAGGACCACTATCACACCACCAGAGAGACGAGATTGTGCTGCTTACAGAGATCCCTGTAACAATAATTATAGGCAAAGTTTCCTCTTTGTGGTTTCACTAATGGGAGCCAGCACAGATATCCAAAACACAATTTCTGAAAGAACTCTCCAGGAGCCACACTGACTGTGAAACCTGCTTGTTCTTCTCTTTCAGGTACCACATTGCTGTGATTGTGCTGATTTATTTACTGCCTCTGATGGTGATGTTTGTGGCATACAGCATTATAGGAGTCACTCTGTGGAGCAGCACAGCTCCAGGCAGCCACCTGAACAGAGTCCACTACGAGCACCAAGTCAATGCCAAAAAAAAGGTCAGAAGTGAAACTCAAGTATCATTACTCCTAGCACACCAGCCCTGCTGCCTCCAGATCTAAACTTGTGTTCCATACAAAATCTTGTGGGATTGGGCTTGAAAGGTTGACTCAATATTTTGGGTCCAGGGTAAAGGGACCCAAAATGCCTGCAAGTTTTAAAAAAGTGCACCAGGCAGCCTGCAAGGAAGAAAGGCTCGCAGCAGCAGGCTGGCTGCCAGCAGAGAGTGAAGAGAATCCACACAGGATAAACCAGGGTGAAACTCTGGGCAGAGGGGAGCAGTCTCAGTGTAAGAGCAGCGATCTCCTTTCCCTGCACCCCCCCGGGTACAGCCTCAAGCAGTTGCTGTGCCCTGGGAAGGGTTTGGTTTAACTCCCTGCCCTGTTCCCGTCACCGGGGCACTCCCTCCCTCCCCGCTCCAGTCTCCATGGCCAGGGCACTCCCTCCCTCCCTCCCTGCTCCCAGTTTGCATCACCAGGGCTTGCTTCTTTCCCTTCCCACAGCAGTCCAGGCCTACATTCCATGCTCTGCACTTTGGGCCTACATTCCAGCCTCCCGCAGGCCCAAATCACCCAGAGCCCCAAGGAATAACCCCCCGGCTTTGTTTTCCCTAGTTTGTGAAGACCATGGTGGTAGTGGTGATCATTTTTGCTGTCTGCTGGCTGCCCTATCACATCTACTTCATCCTGGGCAGCTTCAAGGAGGACATCTACCAGCAGAAGTACATCCAGCAGGTGTATCTGGCAGTCTTCCTCCTTGCCATGAGCTCCACAATGTACAACCCCATCATCTACTGCTGCCTGAACCAGAGGTGAGCAGGGAAAACTGAAATCTCAGCCTGAAAATGCTAAATGCATAACTCTCTGGAGTAGTAAACCCTATGGAAGTGCCATGGGGAGGTGTCACACGAGGGAGCAGCTGGGGGAGCACATCCCCAGCGTGCCAAGAGATGTCCCTCTTGCTCTGTGCTGCAGAGAGCAGGGAGCTGATCTGGCTGATGTCCGTGCTAAATCCCACATCCATAATGCCCCCAGCCCTCTCCAGGCTCGCTGAGAGCTTCAAAGGCAATAAATGGTTATCAGTGCAGTGCCACTGGGGCTGCAGCAGGCAGTGTTTACTCCAGTGATGCTGCAAGGCTCGCTCCTGTGAGCTGCCTAAAGGAGAGTGCTGCAGCCCATTCACGCAAAATGCATTTAGCATGGAGCACACAAACATGTCCTCCTCCTCCTCTCTCAGAAAGCAGACAGCTTCCTCTTAATTTATTAATTATTAATTGTGTTTTTTTAAAAGCTCCCAGTGGGCAAACACATGTATTTTCCTCGGCTGTTCTGTCTCACAAATGCAGTTACCAGCACAGCCAGCACCATCTACTGAGCACATCAAACTCCCTCCCATTAACACTGATCATGTATGTTAACTTAAAATACAGAGAAATCTGTGTCTCACATCAAACTCCTGCCATTTCACTGATCATGTATGTTAACTTAAAATCCAGGGAAATCTGTGTCTCACAAATGCAGTTACCAGCACAGCCAGCACCATCTACTGAGCACATCAAACTCCTGCCATTTCATTGATCATGTATGTTAACTTAAAATCCAGGGAAATCTGTGTCTCACATCAAACTCCTGCCATTTCACTGATCATGTATGTTAACTTAAAATCCAGGGAAATCTGTCTCACATCAAACTCCCTCCCATTTCACTGATCATGTATGTTAACTTAAAATACAGAGAAATCTGTGTCTCACATCAAACTCCTGCCATTTCACTGATCATGTATGTTAACTTAAAATCCAGGGAAATCTGTGTCTCACATCAAACTCCTGCCATTTCACTGATCATGTATGTTAACTTAAAATACAGGGAAATCTGTGTCTCACATCAAACTCCTGCCATTTCACTGATCATGTATGTTAACTTAAAATACAGGGAAATCTGTGTCTCACAAATGCAGTTACCAGCATGGCCAGCACCATCTACTGAGCACAAACTCCCAGCCATTTCACTGATCATGTATGTTAACTTAAAATCCAGGGAAATCTGATCAGAAACTCCCAGTGCACCTCCCTCCGTGCTCTCATGCTTTTAGCTTTTCACCTCATTCCTTTGATTTCAGTGTAAATATTTATTTCATAGCCATTCACAGGTAGAACCAAGCCATGAGTTTGTTCACTCTCTGCACAATTAGAAAGATCATTTCACCATTTAATTGCTTTTCTCCCTCTGCCAGGTTTCGCTCTGGATTCAAGCTGGCCTTCCGCTGGTGTCCCTGCATAAAAGCAACTGAGAAAGACAAACTTAAACTCATGTCCCCATCTCTCTACCAGACAACCCTCAGGAAGTCAAGAACGAGTTTCAACACAGAAACTCAGCTGAATGAGAAAGAGAAGACATCCTTTACCCTCACCCAGTTAACACTCTGATTTCCTGCTCCTAGTTCTGGCTCCGTCCCATACACCAAGCAAGGCAGCAGATCTGAAGAAGCTCTTTTTCTCTGGAGCAGCTATTTCCTACAGGACTTCTTTAGATGCCATCAGCATTGAAGGCAGCACATTGATAACACTTCTATCCATGTAGGTCCAAGCTGCAGATACAAGTTTAGCCCTCCCTTACATCAACAACTGCAATACAGAACAGACATCGGGCCCAGGAGGCCAGAAACTCAGCAAAGCAGATCTGAGGCAGTGCCAATCAGGAGAATATAAATTCTTCTACACTGTGATCTCCTGATTTCTGTTCCACCAGGACACCTGAAGTCAGGAAAGGGTTGATGGAGCAGAAAGGCTGGGGCTCATGTGGCCCAGCTGGGATGGACCCAGGGCTGTGTGGGCAGCCAAGTGCCAGGGCTCAGCACCCCAAGGCACTGTGCACCAAAGCCTGTTTACAACAGAGGCAAACACCAACACATCCAGACTGAAAAATCCAGCCTGCCCTCAACGTTCTCTGCATTCTGGGATTTGCATGCCGGCAGTTTCACCAGCAGAAACAGTTCATTAAGATGTTGTCATTAGATTTCTATAACCTTGTCCCAAAATATGATGTTGGTTTCCTATTAAACCATGCTCAAGTGATTTCTCCTTCACATTAATTGTGGTGCCTAATTTGAAGAGTGAGGCACCCTCAGAAGAGTCAGTAGCCAGGGATGGCCACTGGCTTGGTCAGGGCTCATGGATCCACTCAGAATCCACCTTCTTCACATCCTTTTAGCCCTAACAGCAGTGCTCCATCTCTGTCTTTTCCCAGACAGTCCCTTCACCTTCCCTTTCCAGACTTACCCCATATTTATCCTCACTGCTCTTCCCAGGTATGAAAACAAAAGCTGGAATATGTCATCTTCCCAGCCTGAGGCATTATGCGCAGGCACACAAACCAGGAGAAGCTGAAATGTAAACATTATGTAAAAGTAATGCAGCATTTAATAATGGTGTAAGTTAGCACCTTCACCTCTCCTGACAGGTTTGTAAATAATATCACAGAGCCATACCTTATCAATTAAAGAGCTCCTGTGATGCTGACGAGATCCAGTTACTTGAAATATTCTCCTTTGCTCTGTGAAAGCCAAACTTGAAAGCCCTTGTCACACAGCAGGCCACATTATTCCTGTGATACATGAAGCATGCCCCATGGTAAATCCATGCAATTCTCCATTAATAGATATAGACAGGGTTAAATACCACACAGCAGTAAAGACATCCAGGTCAGCAATAATTCCTTCCCCTGCATGTTCACTTGTGCACTGAGGAGCAAAGCAGTCCCTGCAGTCAGTAAAGAAAAACACTTGAAGAATCTCATTTTTATGGCAAAGGAATGAACAAAAAGCACAGAACGGGGTTCAGAAGTTCAGAAACACTTTATTTTGCCTTCTGCTATTTTCTTAAGAAAACAAAACAAAACAAGGTCTGCTTGTTTTAAAACTCATTCAAAAGGCTTCTGAGAGAACCCCAGAGGAGTAAGGAGCAGATGACATTACAACAGTGGTATGCAAATGGTCTTTTCCCCAGGAAATATAAGATTTTTGTGTTCATATTGCAGTAATTACAGCTTAACAGTTAAGAGGACTGTGATTTTATTCACCAAGCCTAAAAGCTTTAAGAAAGACATCTCAGTCATTGATTGTATAACACTGGAGACATTTCTTCAGACAGTTATAGCTTGTGATTCACTTGGAACAGTTTCCTAGGGGTAAGAAGTAGTCTGGAAATGGAAATCCCGCCATGTCTCCCTTTGGAAAAGAACTGCCGTGTCTTACCAAGCACATCAACTATGGTGCACGGTAGGAAAAGTTAGAAACACAAACTCACTCCCTATTTGTTATGAGCTGGATCCAATAAACAAAACGACCTATGCCAGCATCTTCAAAATCCACAGTCACCCTGAGACCAAGTTTAAGTTCCACTTCTCCCTCACCCTCTATCCTGCTCTGAGCCTGGCCCTCGGGTGCCAAAGAGCTGCAGAGCCAGGTCCCAGGCACGGCTCACACCACCCCTACAGCACTGCCGACGGCAGGCACAAGATCTGCAAACCTCCAAGCAATCCAAATGCAACGTGTCCCCTGCGCCCAAAAACCTTTCTCACCTTCTTCTGTCTCCTGTTGGGGGTCATAGCTGCACATCAAGGCTGTCAGAGACTATTCAGGCTGTAACATAAAGCGCGTTATTGGAGAAGCACAGCTTTAGTGTTCGCAAAAGGGGCTTTCAGCCAGCACAGCTCCATCACAGGCTGTGCCAGCCAGGGCTGCAGAGCACCTGACAGCGGCGCTGAGCCGGCGTTAACCTTACACACACAGAGAGCTCACAGCCTGGTGGAACCACACCGCCCTCAGTGCAGCACCCCAAGGCTTTCCTGCAGCACATATCCCCCTGCACAAGACAGGGGCACCCAGGGGCCCCTAAGATTTGGGCGCCGTCAGCGCTGTGCCTCTGCTGAACTACGCTAGGAAACACGAGGCACGGGGACCTGTGTGAATCTGACCCCGAATGCCCGGGAATAAAAACACACACACAAAACACAGGCACCACTGGGATTAGGTTGCAGCTCTCCCTACACAATAGCTCTTCCCAAAGCACTAAGCCACCAGCCAAGAGCACCTCTTCCAGAAAGAACCACTAAACACCAGTTAACGCACATCAAAAAAGTTTAATATTTTCACAAGTATCACGTAACACTAGTACCAGAGCTACTAGTGTGCAAAGTAAAAAGACCCTCTACCTTTGCAAAACCAGTTAGGCATGCAATTTTTCAGGTAGACACACACTTAAAGCTGCAATGACTGTTTGTGACTTACAGGTTACTTTACAACATTCACTCACAGTGCACCATAATGCATATTGAAATGTTATCGATAGGTAGGGGCAATCCAAATCTTAGGGAGTGGAACGAGAGCAGAGAAGAGCAGCCTGCAAATTTCCATCTACTTTCTGCAGGAAAAGGCAGCAGGGAAAACCATGCGGACATCTCAGATTCATTTTTGGTAGAAGAGTGGGAATTAAGGACTTAACTGTGTGGTCTCCCTCTTTGCAGAAAGTGACGTGACTTACAAATGTTACTCAAGGTGTACCTTCCTAACTGCTTCTCAATTTAAGTGATGGAAATACAATAATGCAAATATAATAATGGCATTGACTGGACAGAGGACAGGGTACACCACGTGTAAATGATCTGCTGTTGCCTTCGTCCTTGGAATAAGCTGCACCCAATTTTGGCTTTTTGGGTTGTTTACGTACCCGGGTCCTCAAAGGCAAGATCAAAACACAACCTTCCCCTTCCTTTCTGCGCACTAACTCTGGCTGGGTGTCTGTGTTCCGAGTGGCTGCTGGACAGCATTACAGATTAAAGCTCTGTGTGGAAGCAAATACCCATTTAAGGCGAGAGACGGAAGCAGGCGCATCCGGGGGACGCGGCTGAGCTGCAGGTTTGGTGGAAGGGCAGCTGCAGCGCCCCGACCTAGACTAACAAGAAGAGAAAGGAACTATTTTCTGTAAGAACCCTTTGACAGAAGAACACAGCACAGCCACGTAGGGAGCACAGATCTATCGAACTGGCAGGTCTGGAGATTTGGATTACCCCAGTCACCAACCGCTCTTTTTAGGGCTTTCTCGCCGAAACGTGACGGATTTCGCCCGGGAACACAACACTACTCACAGAAGCAATGGGGAATACCAGTGGAACCAGGTCTGTGGGACAAGTGTGTTTACTTTCACCATGACAGGAGGCATCAAGGAAGCGAGTAAGTCGCGGTGTCAAGTCCCACTACAGAGTTACGTGCGTGCACGGTGCCGACACACCAAAATGTTTTCACAACCGCTTGAGACGAAACAACAGCAGGTAGATAATGCAGGAGGAAACTGTTGCTTCCCCTTCACTTAAAAGCATCAACACCCAGGTCTGGTGGTCAGCGTGCTGGCAGTGTGCTTAACAGGGATGCTGCAAAGAACACGTTTGGTACGATGCAACGGGAGCTCTCAACGCACATCACTTGGGGGCAATTTCGTCTCAGACAACAACTGATTTTTGACAACTGCAGAAATTATAGACTGGGTTTTTTTTCCATGACCTACAGATGGGGAAGGTACTGACAAGGTGAGTAAGAAACATGCAGATTGGGGTCCAGAAACAGGAGATATTATTAAGAGCACACATTCTATCTTGTATCCTATTTTTTTTTTTTTATGTCATTAGTTGTAATATTTTTTTCCCCCGATAAAGCAGCGAGTTCTGAGTTTTTTTACCAGTTCTGACTATGCCAGTCGCTGCTTTATGAGAAACACAAGACAGAATTGAGGCCAGGGCTGTGGAGTTCAGTTCTGCTCAGCCTCACGGAGCCTGCATCCCACGGCTGTGATGAGCGCTGCCCCTTTCCCGCTGCCGTCCTCCGACAGCAGGAAGGTCACGTCGCAGTTGGGCGCCAGCTCTTTGACTGTTTGGTGCATGATCCTCGAGAAGCTGGGAAAGCAAACAAGGGCAGCGGGTGAGGAAGGTCCTGCAGCAAGTGCAGAGCACTGCCACGGGCATTTGCATCCCCTTTCATCAGGCTAAGAAGTAAGATGTTGGAAACAGGGGTGGATTTGAAGCCTGGGAGCAGTAGGAGTTAAAGGGAAAAAGCACTTGCATCCCAGCCCCACCTGTCTGTGTGAGGTTAACTGGGATCACTAATCCACAGCAAAGGGGAAAGGACACACCACATAAGTCCTCTCCTTCCCACCCAATCTTCCTCCATGCACACTAGTTCTCTTCTGCCCCTGCCCTCACCTGCATTGCTCTGCAGCAGCTCTTCTCCGCTGGACACTGAACAGAAACATCCTCCAAAGAGGCACCAGGCATTTCAGCACTGCTCTGTCATTGCCTGTCCAGAGCCAAGAGATCCTTCCCACGTTACACAGCTTCCAACTCACTCGGCAAGCTGTGTCCCCTTCAGTTTGTCACCACCCCAAGAATCTTTCACAAGTCATTCTTGATCCTCTCATTGCCCTTCAGAAAGCCCTGAGCCCCCTGATTCAGACATTTTTCCCCCTGGCTCTTATCCCAGCGAGTGAGAGAGTCCAGTTGGGAGCATCAGGAGGAAGGACGTACACACAAGGCACAAAGAAAAGCTGAGAAGGCAAACACTCACTGTGGGTGGAGTTTGTAGAGAGTGCCATCCACACCAACCGTTATCTCCAGGCGCTCCAAGCCTCTGTTCTCCCTAATTTTATCTACAATGGCAGCCATTCCAGCCCCACAGAGCTGGGCTGCTCGCCTCGACACCGCCCCGCACACCGTCTTGACGATGATGCTGTCGTCGCAGGTGCTGTTGAGCCCCAGCTGCTGCAGGATGGTTCTCACCTGCAGCAGGGCTAACCTGTCACTGTGGGAGGAGAACACCGTGTTACAGCTTTCCCTCAGTCATGCCACAAACCCCACAGCACGGATGGTGCACCCACCCCGGGCAGCAGCCTCTCCTGACAGCACAAGTGATCCCAGGGAAGGCAAATTCAGGCACTGTGCTGCACTGCGAGCAGCAACACAGACTCCAA